CACTGCACCGATTTAGAATTGCACTCCTGAAATACTGTCGTTGTTTTTATTTTTTCATTTTTTATTTTTCATTCATAAACTTGGATTCTTCTGCCCATTAGAGTATTAAACCTCTATTAATACATCAATGCTTAAGCCCCAACTAATGTTGCATGTGGTTACATCACTTGAGGCAGTTCATCAGACTTCACACAGCTCCATCTGGAGCCACAAAAGGCTTCATACAACTGTTTGTCACATAAGAAGCAGTACTCCCCAGGAGCTGAAAAACTGAATTTGATGTGTGAATTTAAGTTTCCTCGAAGAAGAAGAAGATATACTTTATTGATCCCCTAGGGGGAAATTGTTTTTTTCACTCTTTTTTTTTTTATACACACAGGCTGAAATACACATCCACTTCATGCACATGTGGACATGTGGACATGTGGACCCATGCTGGAAATGCAAAGGGGAGAGAATGGTGGAGTGATGGGGCTGCTGCGTTACCAGTGCCTCATGAGCAGGTTTCGGGGTAGGTTGCCTTGCCTCAAGGGACCTCGGCAGTGCACAGGAGGTGAAACTGGCACCTCTCCCAGCTACCAGTCCACACTCCATTTATTTTGTGGTCTGTGGGACTTGAACCAGCGGACTCTCCGGTTCCAAGCCAAGCCCATACAAGACTGAGCTACTGCCGCCCCCTAATTATGTGCTATTATGACCGGTGAGATTGCTGCAATAACAGTAAAGCAGCATTTAGTTACTAATAAAAAGTGTAATAATTACCTTTTTAGAGCCTCTTAGCACAAAATAACTATTCTATACTGTAACTGTGGGGGGTTGATGATGAGCTGCTGCTGAGATTTATGGCTCCTGAAACTCACTTTCTGGCCCAGACTGCAACAGCACAGTCCAGTAGAGAATATTTATAGCAGAGCAGTAGGTGAAGGGAGATACCTTGGCACTGGTGCTAGCAGAGTTTCACAGCTGCACATAGTACTTTCAGTACTGAGCGGTTTCTTTGAAGGATTGTTCAGTGGCTTTTTCAGTTGTTATGGGCCTCTTGTACTCAGATTTCTTCCAGCTGGTCAGTTCAAATAATCTGTTTGATTTTTTTTTTCTATCATAAATGCACTGTTCTTGCTTCATGCTAGACTACCTTCACACTTCACTTGTCCACAGCAAGACGTCTGGTGTTTGGAAAGCTAAACTTCACAATTTAAAGCTGCATAAAGTGTTTTTTTTGGCCACATGGGGCAGAATGAGATGTTAATATGGACCAACTGACTAGACTATCACATTGTAAAGTTGTTATAGTGAACATGTTAGCACACAGTTACTTATTAACACTTATTAATAATCACCAACTTTGTCTGCTGTTTGGGCGCAAAATAAACTTTCTTGTGACTAAAAACAGGCTGGGTGAGAGCGGAGAGTTGAACCAATAGTAAAGTTGTGTCCGTAAAAACAAAAGAGGGAGCTAAAGATGCTCCGTTGAGCTTAGGGGAAATTCAAAGTTGGTGACAATTCTCTGTGGATCAGATGACAATGTGGGATGTGTCGCTTAAAGTGACAAATCCATTCTTAATATAAACATATTAATTAATGCAGCTTTAATGCCTTGTGTGTGTCCCTCAGGCATTGATCTATGGTGAGGTATGCCTATTTGCATGATCACCATTTATTCATATAAACTAGTGATGTATTACTGAGCATTCCTTCATTGTTATGCAACACTATACCTCTGAGAAACAAAGTATTGTTGTCATGAACTTAATATTGGCTGTTGGTGCACAGTGTGAAAGTGGCTAATTGAGTTTGTGGATAAAAGTGTCACATCATCAGTAGTCCCTAAAGGGGATTATCTTAGAGCTATCCAAAAACATCTAATGAGTAGGGCTCCCTCATAATAATTACATTATTGGAACTATGTACTATACTTAGCTGTCTGCATGCTGATGTAGCATAATGTTGTCTTGAATGCATGCTTTGCTGAACTAATTGGCCAGTTTTACCATTCATATTTGTGTCCATCGCTTTAAAATCTGCTGGGATTAATTGATTGATATCCTTGAGGGATTCTGCAAATTACTTTTCCTATTTTTTTGGTCAATAAGGTCCCGTCTGGGTTAATTGGTAATGCAGCCAACTCCATTCTGTTAAAGCATAAAGCATGGCGTTGGAGTGGATAAAGTAACAGGGACACCTTTCAATACCTTATAATGCAGTCCAGTCACAAATACAAATACTACCTTTGCAGAGCTTATAATGTTACATTTTATTATAATTTGTGGTATTTTAGTGTATTGCTTTATATTATAAGGTATTTTTGTTATTTATATGTGAACCTTAACTTGTATTAACTTTCATTCTCAACTCTAAAGTCTTGTTTTGTTCCACTAAAAGCAGCATTTTTGTCTAAACTTTAATGTTTTTTTTTCTAGGTCTTACCTCTAACCTAAAGGTCCAGGTCAGTGATTTCCTGAGTCGTCAGCAACTGAGCCAGGCAGTGGTGGAGGTCTTTATCAACTACACCAGGACCAAGACGGCTCTCACTGGGGAGGACGGCAGCGTTTTGCTTCATGTCCCTTACCAAACTGGGACACCTATCACAATTGTGGCCAGCAAGGATGGCTACATTTCCACACTGCTGCCCTGTAAAACCAACAGAATGCCAAGTATGACATTCAATGTGTGTGTGCGTCATAAGGACATTGTTTAACTAAATCACCACAGATCAAATAGATAAAAATGAGAAAGGCAGTGTCATTGTTTTATTCATCGTTGGCTCTCATGATCCTGGAAATGTCAGGGAGTGCGTTTCTTTGAGCTTAGTGTGGCTGAAAGTTTTCCTCTGAGTGACAGGAGTACCTTATTATGATAGCTTCTTTTGTCTTTTCATCAGCTCAGAAAATCCGTTGCTCCATGGCTCTGCCTGTAACTCAACCAATGACATTATTTCACACTCTGAAAAATCACTGTACAATTTATACCGTATCAGCTGCATGCTATGTGGTTGTGTATGTGTTTGCACAGACGTTTGGACGAAAGAATAGATAGTAGGTTGTGTAAAATCAATACACTTCAAATGATGTCATGTAAAATCAATACACTTAAAATGATGTCATGTAAAATCAATACACTTCAAATGATGTCATGTAAAATCAATACACTTCAAATGATGTCATGTAAAAACACAGTCACAGAAAATATTGAGCTTCATATACTTAAGGGATTTATCTAAACTTTTGGTTGTAACTTTTTGCCCCACTCCACTGCAAATTTACACTTAATTAGGCACAGCACCCAAGCATCAGTTTATATCACTGTAGTGTGTGTCATCTGCCTTTGACACTCATCTCCCATCTACATCTGAATCTTGAACTATTGTTTGTAGTTAAAACTTGGATAAGCCTTCGCCAGAAAAGTCAATTCCCCCATTTCTTTCCTCTGTGTACAGTTAAATACCTGACTTGATAGAACACAATGCAACACTGCCATCTGGTGGTTCATTTTTAAATAAAGTACTCTAATTTTGTATTTTTCCTCTTTTATCTTTAGTATTTTCATCTGTGACCATGTCCCTACTTGGTCAGAATCAGGGGAACATCTGGCTCTTTGAGGATTCAGTCCTGATCACTGGCAAAACATCTGGTACTGTATATATTAGTTATTATATATATTAGTTTTCTTTCCTCCTTGCTCATGCTCTCTCTGTCTCTTTCTTTGATTATCAGTATAAGCATCAATTTAAGGAAACACATCATATTAGCCAAGTAAGCTGCACTAAAGAGAAAGTACAAAATATATTGCCAGCTGTTACTTATCATGTTTTATTTGTAGATGCTTCGTCGCAGCCCGTTGTCCAGTTTCCCAAGAGACTGCTGAATCTGACAGACGGCAGTAATGTCACCTCTGTCAAAGCCTACCTAACCATTCCCAAGCTGCCATCAGAGGAGGACATCTTTCTGAACACTATGGGCATCATGAGCAGTAAATCAGGTAGACATGAGTGTTGCAGTGACACTATTTTGACACAGAGGCATAGAGACAACATTCGTTTTAGGTCATAGTATATTTTTTTAGATGTGAGTGATTTGATTTTGAGATTCAAGATAAAACATTCAATGTGTGTAAGATTAGATTGGTTTTCCTGTGGTGCCATCTAGTGGTAGTATAAAGAAACACCGTGGTAGACAGCAATGCAGGCTGATACAGATAAATGGGTTAAAAGAGGGACATAGGTTGCACTAGTTTTAGCTGGGACTGTTTCATTTTTCTACCAGCAAAAAAAACAAAAAACATATTCCATCAGATGCTGTAATAAACTGATTCAAACTGTAACAATGTTAAACTGGAAACATTTTGATAAGGTGTTTAATCACGAACATTTAAAACAATTTCATTCAAGAAAAGATACATTTAATTCATCTAATGCACATATTCTCCTAAAAATGACCACTTCTGTATTTTAAGGATATGTCAGTGTGGATTTGAGTCCGGTGGCGGCTGTCAGCGTGCAGCTTTTCTCAGGAGACACAGAGTTATATGTGAGTGGGCCTATACAGATCAACCTCAGCATTCCTGACAACTGTGGACTTCAGACTTCAAATGTTGTTCCAGCTTGGTTCTTTAACCGGACCACTGGTGAGTAGAAGTCACAGTCATGCACACGCTTAACATATTTGAAGAAGTATCAGGAGAGCCTCTTAAAAGAATGTTTTACCTTGCCACCATTACCAAGTGCTCATGGTGGGAACTGTCGGGTCCCTGTAAATAATTTTATAAGGATACGTCATAGACCTGCTCTATCTTGAAAAAGTGGTCCTGAGATAACTTCTGTTATGAATTTGCTGCTACTTTACAAATGAAATTGAATTGAATTGAATAAGGCTTCATCTTCACTATCTTTGAGTCAAATACTGTATGCATCCATCAGTATAGACAAATATGAATATAAATAATGTTTAGTTTTAAAAGAAGCATCATAGGATGTTGTGACTTGACTCCACATCTGCAGGGGAGAGTTTAACCTAAATGCAGAGCTAATGTGTTATTAGTGTCATGAATTTGTCTGAGTTAGATGCCTCTAAGGAGGAGTTCTGTTATACGCCATATCTGTTCAGACTAGATAAGGAGGCTATCTTTACTTTGTTCAGTTCATCATGTTTCAACTGAGCTGACTCTGTGTTAATAGACTTAACTTACTTACTTAGGAGTAAAAATTTACTTAGAATGAAAAGTGTTTTATTAATGTATTAATGACCCAGAGGAGCAACTAGGTAAAGAGAGGTCTCCTGCACTTACACAAACAATGTATCAGTTTTTTTTAAATGCTACTCATGTCCAACTAACTTTGAATCAGCCCACTGTCCTTAATCAGTGGTTAAACATGGTTCTCAGTCATTTGAATGGTGTCTACAATTTTTACATTAGGTGGGAAAAGCTTGACATTTATCTCCTACTTTGAAAAAAAAGCCAGGCCCCCTCAAAATGTTGGACCTGGGCCCCTAACTTTGGTTCCTGTCCAACTTTCTAGTCTAGACAGACACAGTATTCTAGGAGAAATAGTGAAGCAGACAGGTTATTGGCAGCATTAAGACGATCAGGCACATGTTAACCCCACCTCTCAGGTAATTATATCATAAACAGAGCAACTTGAATGACTGTCTTCTGCTTAAAGAATAATTTTATCCTTTTGAAAGCTTTAAGCTGCTAATAATAATAATAATAATAATAATAATAATAATAATAATAATAATAATAATCAGGTACCACTGGCACAATGTTCACACCTTTCTTTCTAATACTTACAGTACAGATACAAATACAGTGTCCAAAATGAGTTACAGTAAATGTAACTCAGTAAACTATGAATATTTATTTGTTGACTACCGTGTAATCTTTCCAATTTATTTTTTTTATAACCCCAACTCAATATAATTTATTTCATTTTAGAGTAATAGATTATGTGTAAGTGACATACCAAGTTTCCTTTGGTGCTACCAGTACAGAGAGAATACAGTGAAGACCACATGTGTAGAACCTGGTGCATATTTAATTAGATCTGTCACAGTTGACTGAATTTCAAAACTTTCAAAAGATCCAAGGTTGGCAAACTTTAATATGGGAGATAGATTAGGCTAATTATTTTTTCATTAATTTCAGGACCCATCTCATTAACCTAGGCTGTCTTTGGAAGGGGATGAGCACATTTATTTTAAGATCTGACAGGAGTGTGGTAGATAAATTCAAGACAATTTTATACAAACAACATTGATGTTTGTTTGTTTTACCTACTGTAGGTGGATGGATGAGAAAAGGACTGGGGACGGTGGGGTCAGTGGGAGGAAAACTCATGTGGACATTCACAGCTCCTCACCTTGGTTACTGGATAGCAGCACCTCTGTCATCCACCAGAGGCAAGTGCACACCCTAAAGATGTTAAAATACTGTAAATATAATGCAGTGTTTTTTTAATACTACCACTGAAATGTCATTGTAATCAGTAAACACGTACCAGATAGAAATAAATGAAAGACTACTGTATAACCTACTGCATATGTTTATAGTTCATCCAAACTCTGTATGCTTTAGGTTTCTTTGGACTTGCCATCCCCATTGACTTCATCTTGCGGCATGCATCTTTCCTGATGGTTGTCCTTGGAGGAATGGTTGTTATTGTCATCTCTCTTCTGGTTGTTGTATTGTGTTATCACAGGTAGGCTTTCATCTCACGCTAGTCCATATATACTAAAAGTTGTGGGGATGTTAATATGATTACTTCGAGTAACATTTAAAGATTTACTTTACTTGTCTTCCCAGCTAACTGGAAGGCCAAATCAAGCATATCTCAAAATATATCTTCAATTTTTAGAGCAACAAAATTCTTTATGGGCTGTCACTGAAGGTTATAATTGCTTGCAGCATAATCCTGCCGTCTAACTGTATATCCAATATTATGAAGCATAGTTTCAGTTTCAGACAAAAGAATCGACTGTCACACGTTTCATTAAGCTGGCACTGTTTAAAGCAAATGTTCTGTCTTGTCTACAGAAGTTCGCTCAGTGAAGCTAAAACAAAGAAGATCCTACCAGTGATGAGAAAAGACCAGACCACCTCCACATGTGACGATGGAGTCTTTGACATCTCTTCAAGGGACTCCTCTCATCCACAGGATGGACTGAACCAATCATTGACAGAAATGGGGGATAATCGGCACAATGCCTCTGTTATTTCTATGCACAATGGCAACGTAATAGCCAACCCCAATGCTGTGGCCATTGCAGTGGAGTGTAACGAACTGGAGCTTAACACTGACCTGAATGATCTGATGTGTGGGCAGATCAGAGCTCCAGCCTCTCTGACAGAGAATTTGTTTTTCTACAACCAGCCTGTTGCCATTCTTCACGCTCCAGCATTCTTCCACTTGGAGGAGCAGCCAGAGCAGCCCCAGTGGAGCAAGTCCGCCACTCTTCCCCGTGCAGGGGCTACAAACAGTGCTGCCAGTGAGCCACTGAACAAAGACAGCTTCACCCAGGCTCAACCAAAAGACCCTTCTGCCACCCAGAACCAGGCGGCAGAAACTGAGGACCAGCTTGGGGTTTTAGAGGGCTCACAGGCAGCAACCTCCACAAACACACCCAGAGGTCACTTCAACCTCCCAGAGTCAGTTTCAGTTCCAGGAACATTAAATAAAATGGGAGGCAGCAGACACTCAGTGCATGCCTTGGCAGAACTTTCTAAAATCCCCTCACTTCAGCCACCTCGGGCCTGGTTTGTATCACTGGAGGGCAAACCTGCAGCTGAGATCCATTACGCTGTGTCGGAGCAGCAGAGGAGACGAAGGCCAGTTGAGAGTCGAGAGACCAGCTTAGACTCAGGAGTGGATATGAGCGAACTGAACCCGACGTCTGGAAGGAGGGCTGTAACACTGGAGCGCAATGCTACGTTTGTCAAAAGCACATCGAGCAGTAAACATGCACCTTCACAGTAAAAACTCTAATGCCTCCATGCCTACAGCTCTTTAAGTTTGTTAATCAACAGCATCAGTTCTATCTATGATCTATCTATGAAATAACCTTTTTACCTTATTGCTTCATCTTTTACATACTAATGTTAAAGTGCCAATCGAAGTTGGGGGAACTGTGCTATTATCAGATTCCACAGGGTCTACGTTGCAGCTGTTATGCATGTACAAAAGCACAAACAGTCCAAAGCAGAGCATGTGGACTTTACATCTAAAATATCATTCCTCATACCCATTCTGCTGTTTACCAGCCTGTCTTATCTCTTATCTCCTGCCTCAACAGCCGGTTTTAACCATAAACATGTCAGATTTTGCAAGTGTTTTAACGTTCAACACTGATAATTTAAATAGAGAGAGAATAATAGTCAAACATCTCCGTAATGAACAGTCATAAACTTTTATTCTGTCCAGATTAATCCACAGACTATCATGGCTAACTCAACAGGACTGAATGTTCGGTATTTTAACAACAACCGTTTGTATTTGTGCATATTATATTTGTTTTACATGTTTCCATGTATATTGTCTTGAAGTGAATCATTTCATTATATTTTAATAAAAAATACCGACATTTTTCCAAATACATGTTTTTTTCAATGAATCAAGGCCTAATACAGTCTAATTTTTTTTTTTTAAAATTAATCCAAATTAATGTGTTAAATTTGCCAGCATTTGACACCAAACTGAAGTGGCAGCTCCGGTAGCCATGCGCCACCCCATGCCACCCCTCTAGATTCTGCCCTGTAAAAGTGAAATACTCAAGTACAATTTTGAGGCAACCTAATTTTACTTAAGGACCTAAAAGTACTTGAGTAAGAGTAAGTGTACTCACTCGCCAACTATTTTGGGAGATTGCTGACAAATGTCCCCAGATCGAGACAAATTGTCCCACCCTCACGCTCCTGTGAGGGCATGAGCTACAGTCAGTCTCAGTTTTTTTTTACAAAGCCAGCAAAAATCATAAAACCAGAGATGATGATGACAAAATAAAGTGTATAAAGTTGTATAAGTTTAGTTTGAGAGATAAGTAAAGACTTATAGAGAATTATACAAAAAACACTGGGACATACTGACTGATAACATACATGTACATCATACATAATCAAAAAAGATGGAGGTGAGGTGGGAAGGTGAATGATGGACTGCAGAGAAGGTGAAAATGAGGTGGACGTGGGTAGCTGGGGCCAAGAGTCTGGTGGAGTTTGCTGAAAACAATTTGATTTGATCATGTAATTATTTAAGAACAATGCCATAACCCTATGCTGAACAAGAATTAACTATTAAAAATCTCTAGTGAAAGAAAAAGAAAATAATACAAGATGTATTTTAATAAAATAAAATATTCAATCATTCTATTACAGATGATAGAGTTTACGAGGTGCACTTGAATTCACCATGCAGTTCCTGAGACCACCCAGTTCCGACAGTTACAGCTGCTTAAAACTGTTTATACAGGAAATCTGTAATTCTGCAAAAGCAAATAGCACTCTGATTTTCCATGTGGTCTTTACAGATAAAAGCACAATAATAGGTATATTGTAATAGCAGTATTTTTTTATGATGTTATATTGAATACTTTCAGACATAAATGCAGAATATTTACAGAATCTACTATCATGTGATGCGTTCAGTTGATTTTTGTTTGCTTCCCTGTCCAGTAACTTTACAAACTTACCACAAGTGGCTTAAGACATTTGTTTTACATTATATGCAATAATTATATAAAACATATCCACAGACGATTCTGGATTAATGGTTTGAAGTTAGGGTTAGAAGAAGCTTTAGAAGTAGAGATGACAGCGTTTACGAGGTACACTTGAACGTACCATGCCAAGTTCCTGTTAAAACCGCGCATTTCTGAAGACAGGATGTGAGCAGTGCCTCAGGTATTCAGGAAGCAGCGAACTTCAGCTTCCTGACGACTACAGACAGACTTCAATATTTTATCCTTCGCTTCATTTTCATACCAGCAGCTTTTGTTCAACTACAGTGAGATAAGTTACAACAAGTCAAGGTAGGTCGAAGAGCCCACAACTGGAGAGTTTGTACTCTCCAACTGCGCAGCTACTGGTGATTGACATTTCTGCTTGCATGTCACTTAAAGATAATTTCAAGTTAAGGTATTTATCCAAGCAGTGGAAATTGAAGTAAATGTGTTGGTTTTTTTCTTCTTTTACTACTTTTACGTAGCGAAAACAATGAAAGTCCAGGTGAAATAAAAAATGTAATTGTAACCCTTTAAGGCTGCAACCTCAGCCAGTTTGAGGACAGAGGTACTGAGGCCATTCGTAGAGTTTCCAGATGGACTTGTTGCTAAAAGAATCTAACTGTCACCAACAGTAATGTAAACCAAAAACAGCCCTTTCCTGTCCTCAAACTGTCCTCCGTTGGCTACCATTTTATGTGAACTTTAAAGACAAAAGCACAAGAACAGGTATATTGTAATAGCAGTATTTTCTTATATGATGTTATATTGAATATTTTCAGACAGCCTTAATGCAGAGGATTTACAGAATCTACTACCATGGAAATGTGATGTGTTTGCTTTTTGTTTGCTTCTCTGTCCAAACTTTACATGTCCACAAGAGGCTTAAGACATTTGTATTTTACTATATGCAATAATTATATAAAATATATCCACAGTCGATTCTGGATTAATGGTTTGAAGTTACAGTAATTTTTTTACGGACAGAAACAAATCCACAGTACATGTCATGGCCCTGTTAAAGCCTTGAACTTTTGGAGAATGAGTATTTCTGTCTCATTGCAGATCATGGACTTCCCATGGCTGATGTCATGGTTGGAGAGACTTTGGTCTTGGGTTTCGAGGTTTTCAGGTGACCTTGATTACATCTTTAAACAGTGTGAGGATATTTAATCTGTGAATAAATGAATGAATTTATTAAAATAATAATTAAAAATGGAGGAGAGCCGAACACTGGAAGTGAAACACAGTCTGTAGGATTCCATCTGAGCCTCAGCATGTATTTGGCTTAAATAAAGCTACAAGAAGTTTCTGAAGGACAGTGCCACATGATTTCTGATGACTGTTATCGATATTTACAGGACGACAACCTCAAATAGCGGTGACTGATAGTACCGGTGTTGTTACCGCCAGAGAACTAAAAAGTAAAGAAGCAAAAGGCCTCAAAATGACGATCGACACAGTGAGTGATCCAGATAATCATCCAGGTGAGCATTCATATTTTCAACTATTTCCAGCCATTTAAAATCAAATGAAAGCTGCTCCTGTTTCAAAAGTAAAACCCCTTCAACATTATTTTTGTTTGAGCATTTTGAATGAATTGAATGAATGAATTTTTTTTTTCTTGTTCAGGGAAGGATGTTGGACCGGCTTCCAAAGCAACTTACACTGCAACGGGGGGCGGCGTCATATGTGCTGACAAAATATCTATCGACACTATTGACGGCGATATCGATCTGTCAATATCCGTGAAAAAATCAAACTAGGTGCATGACATTTTGCCAAGGATCACTCCTTTATCCTGTGAATGCTTAAAAACATCGCTAAAGCCAAAAGAAACTGTTATTAACCTGAATGATGTGATTGGATTTATTTGGATCTCTTTAAGCTCATTGGCTAATCTTCCAACAGTCCACAATAAAAACATTTAAACAATCCATAGATAATTTACACACAATTTAATTGTTGCTGCACAGATTATCATACACACACACACACACACACACACACTGGCACACACGATAGTGTAATGAAAACTACATATTTCAGTCGACAATCGATTGCAATCGAAAGCGATGTGAAATGATTTTTAAAGGTCAAGAATCCTACTCTCTTTTTATTGAAATTCTCAAAGAGCCTGATGTTCTGAAGTCTTATCTACAGCTCAAACAATGGACCAGCAAAGGATACTAAGAAGGAGTGATATGGAATTTATTCTTTCTGTGCATTATTTTGTTCATGCCAGTTTTTATAATCAAAATATAAATATTTTTAAAATCTTATTCCTGTTTTTTAGAATAGATCACACCCAATAATGTTATAAGTAACATTTGGAAACGGAAGTGTTATCTATTTTTGCAATAATGGAAAAATAAAAATCCCATTTTCAGTAAAATTACAGACTGAAGGTTTCATCTGTTATCTGTCTGTCTGTTGTCACTGGGAGTCGTGTTGATCAATTCCAACTGCATTTGACATGAATGGACATTATGTAGTTGAGAGCAGACTGCTGCACACTATCTACCAAGCCACTAGAGGTCACAATTGTACACGTTTTGATTTTGATTGTTTGGGTTTGCCATGGTAATAAAATTTGCAATTCAACACAGTAAACTTAGATAACATCCAATTCAATGACCATTGAGTTTAAATCATGATTCAACTTTTACCATTCAGCCTTTTGATTTATAAGTCTTAACTATGGGGACATAAACATGAATAATACAATACACAGACTAACAGTTTCAGCCCCAACCACACACACACACACACACTGTTTACGTATGCTGTTAATCACATGAGTCAATTAGTTAGTACATTCTCCAATGTTTAAATATTAAATATCAGGGGGAAAAAACAGCCATATTTGATTTAATTGGGAAATAAATTAGCTTAACGTTGAACTGATTTGAGATCAGTGTTTACTCAATCAGTAAATTGTATCCTCAATGGATTGACATTTATTGTTGGATCACAGCCACCTGCTTCAGCTACATACTGACAAGTGAATATGAATGTTTTGACTTACTTGCGACCCCTCCTCTCTGCCCTGGAAGGAGGCCTTGAGTACCTGGCTTTGGACCAAGGAGCTTTGGATGTGTGGAGTAAGAGTGCCGAGGCATGGTGGCTGGAGGATCCACTTGGAATGGAAACAGTCTGACGCACTTTGTAGATCATAAAACGGCAGCAGGATTAGCGCTAGCCTATGGGGGACAGTGAATGACAAACACAGTCTTACCCCTAATGTGAACTGAACTTGCCTCACCACTATATATTTTCTCTAGCTTTATTTTTTAACAGAGTTGTGCATTATTTGTCGGGGGAACTGTCAGAATCACACGTCAAAAAGCGTTTCTTTAGTCTTGTGATATGTTGCCTGCTCCCAAGAGATTTACAATGAACTGCAATTGACATGTTTTGTTTTCTTTGTCAACTTCTAGTGATGAAAGAGTACTCCATGGAATTAGCATTGCACTCTCAGCACTGTCAGACTCAGATGCAGCAGGACCAGAGATATCGTATTATTTCACACATTCGTCTTCATTGTCTAAACCTGACACATAACTCACGAAGCAACTCGACCACCGACAGTTCATAGATTTGTGTGAGTTATGCTAACAGTGGTTTACTTGTACTCCAGTCGACTCTGACTCACGTGACATCACTGGAGTCAATTTATCAGACTTCACACAGCTCTGTCTGGAGTTACAAAAGTTTCATATAACTTTTTAAATGTGCAGTAAAACTCTCCAAGACCTGTAAACAGACTTTGATTTGTAAAGAATATATATAGAATATAATTCAACATTGTCTGTTGTTCTGAATTAGTTAAAAATTACCTAAAACACACCCACACTAATATGACAAGCAGAGATTGTGATGAAGAGGACATTCTGACAGTATGACTTTCTTTGATAAGCTATACCTTGTCAAATAACATTTTAAAATAAAAGCCACCATTCTACCTATTAATAAACCAGGCATTCCATCCATAAATAAAGATGTGTCCTACACTGTAATTTGTAGTAGACCAAGGCCTAGTGCACTGGTGGCACCAAACATCAGAATGCATTAGGATGCCCTATTGTTCTACTTTCTCGCTGCCACCTCAACATGGGGGACATTTTTCACATGCCACTGCACTGCCAAGCTTTCGAAACGTGAACCCCCGCCAGGCCAGACAGCGAATGCAACCCGGCGGAGAAAAGGGGGTATCTGTTACACAGGCAAGAGGCCAGCTCAACAGTATTTGTTTTAACAGCAGGCCATTAGCAGGCATGCTTGTCTTGTGCATTTACAAGGGTTTCTAATCATGTCAAAAACCCTCCTCAGTAGTAAAGATAAAAGGTTGGATTTTTCAATTAATTGAGACTGTAAAGTATCAAAACTGAAGCTGAGTGCAAAGGCTGAATATCACACTGCTTTGAGAGTCACACTAAAAGCGTTGATATGTTTTCATGTAAATGTACAAACTCCTGCTTGTGATCTTGATAGAGAACTTTGTTAAAAGACATACAGTATAATAATAAAAATAATACTATACACACAACACTAAATTTACCCTCATAAGGTTTGTCTGGTTGGTTGAGAGAGAGATCTTTAGGAACACAAAACTACTACTGGTATAGGACGTCGATTGTATTCAGGGAGGAAGGAAGATTATTATTTAATTTGTTGAAAGTCAGAATGAATTCTCTTGCATTTACTGCACTTCAATGCGTTCCCCACAGAGTCAACTTAAAGCTGCAGCAATCAATATTTTTTAATTTTAGGAATGTTTTTATTTAGTGGATCACAACTGCTTTATGTGAAAGAACTCTGCAGTTCCTCTCAGCACTACTAAGAGTTTTTACTTTAATTTCTTTTTATTCATTGTTTCGGTTTTACGGCTAACACATTTACTGATTTAATCTCACCGCTCACATCATCATTGTTTCCAGGTGCAGCTGTTTTCAGTGAAAAAGCTCTGATAAACACATTGTACACCACCTGCCCAGCACCAAACAAATGATAATTAGCGACTAGCTGGTGGAGCATTTAGCAACTAAAAGAGCCGGATTTTCCTCACGAGTTGGTGGAGATAGAAGGAGCGAAAACATTGCACTTGCATTCATCAGGTGGCCAGAAACACAATTCACACACATTCACTTTTAAAAGGTTTTTACACTTAACCACAAGCCAAAGTTAATGGTTAACCTTATGGGGACCAACCTTTTATGGTTCAAAACTGTGGAAAGTCCCCAAAACCTTACTGTGTGAACAAACCTCCCACAACATGAGTAATTACAAACACCAGAATGATGAGTCGTAAAATACATTTCCTCACAATTTGGTCAACAAGTTAATCTCCACAAACCACAAATCCACACAACTTTAACTCTCTCTGAGTTCATTTATTGTTGTGAAAGCCTGCTGTGGACCTGCCACGGCAATAATTTACCTCCTGATAGATTTCTGCTGTGTGAATGAATGTAATTAGATTATCAGCTTCATTTCATCCTATCACATGTAAACTGAAAGATAAGTTAAAAGTTGTCTTGGTTGATGATAACCCTGACACCAAGCTACATCCTGGTGGATGCTTTAAATGTTTATCAGCCTGAGATAATCTTATGAGAATGGAAGTTTGTGTAGCTCCTGGCTGGGTTTGGAGACAGTAAATTGGTTTGACAGCTTTCTGAATGTATATAAAGTAAAATTATTACATTTAAAGGGGACATATTATGTAAAACCAACTTTTTAATCGATTGATTATGTACATTTGGGACTCTGGAGGGCCTATCACGAGGGCCTATCAGCAGGCAAAGTGTGAAAACAGATGACTCAGTAATTTTTTTGTGGGGTGCCTCAGTCAAAACACCGGAGATATTTACACATTAGTTTAAAACATCACTTTAACACACACCACCTTCCTTTGCACACACAAAGCACACCAGTCCCCAAGTTGTCTCAAAATAGCACCTCTTGGCCTAAATGGTTTCTGAAATAGCCTGGAGTTGAAAAGGGATAGACATTGATACCCTGAGAGGTTGTTGGGTCTCAAGTGTCATCTCACTTCCTTCATTTTGTCTGTATCACATGTACATATAGAACTGCTGGGCTTATAGGTTCCCATTCCCAATGTCTGTAGAGTAGACAAAGGTTTAAAGGCCAGCGTTTCAGCTCATTTCTTCCTGAGGAACAAACAGAAGTGATGGGTTAGAAACTACTTTATATACATGTGTACAAAACATGCACAGGACATCCTATAGATTGATTGTAGCATTCATTAATCAGGCCTTCATCTGTGTCACCTGTGTGTCTCTACCTGTCTTCACTTTTTGCCATATTAACACAAGCCTTTTTTTAAATATATAACTATGCAGTAACCTATTTTTAATTTACAGTACAGTAAACTTATACTCACTTAACCCAATTGAATGCAGTAAATAAAGATAATAAGCTGTAATTATGAACACTTGGATGTGATTCATCAAATTTGTACTGCTACAGTTGGCTTAGCTCAACATGTGATAAGGGTTTGAGGTCAAGATGCTGGAATTTGAGGTCACTGTCTCCAAGGCAGTCCGTGGGTCAAGTATATGTAGGAAATCTTAATCCTCTGTTGGCCTAACACAAATACAGGAAACAAACTCATAAACTTAAGTAACTAATAAAGAAAGATCCCATAGAACCAGACCAGATTCTAATGCAACAAAATGAAAAGTACACTAAAAACCAAGCATCACAGTTTGACAAAAAAAACTTTTTAGTGTAGCTGTAGTCACCACAGTTAACAGTAAATGATGTCCTCTACAGTCAGCACAGTGCAAAATAAGCTTCACATAACAGAAATAATCTGTTGATTGTTAGAACTCCCCAAAGTAATTGTTCAGAAAAATAAAAAATAAATATCTGATGGCAGCACTTTAAGGAAAAGTCAAGGCATCACCAAAGTTATTATAGTTCATCATCTGTCAACACTTCACATGTATCATATTTCAGGGCATCCACCCACAAGTTGTTAAGAGACAAAACCAAAACATTTGAATCTCAAGTAATTAACAACAAAATCATTACATTCATCGTCTGGTGGACCGTGAATGAACGGACACAATTGTATGGCAGTCCGTCCAATGGTTGTTGAGGACTGGACCAAATTGGTTGACTGACAGACCAATGGACATTGCCATCATAGACACCCAATGAGGATTGCGTGGCTAAAACTTGTACTACACGACAGATCATCTATTATAACTAAATATTTATGTAATTGCACAACCACTAGCTTCCATTAGTGCTGATTTAAACGTCTTAATTTCAAAAGACAAAGGGATTCTAATCTGCTGTGAACAATAGCAAATGGGACATGTGCTCTACAGACAGGGTGGATCAAAGATGGCTTTTGATAGCTTTAAGGC